ACTCTCAGAGCCAAGGAGGGATGTAAACGCTCACACCAGACCTGGGAAACACCTCATCTGCAACTCCCTGGCACAGTGAGCTTGCTCAGCTGGTCTCAGGGGAGCCTACCAGGGCTGTGGGCTTGGAGTCTTAGGAGCTGGGTTCCCTCCTCCAGTCACCTCGCCAGTCTGTGTGTGTTGGTTTTTGTTTTGGTACCGGGGATTGAACTCAGGACCTTGCGCTTGCGAGGCAGGCGCCGGAACCACTGAGCTAAATCCCCGGCCCTACCTTGCTAATCTGAAGCTTGGGATCCTCCTTGCAAGTGGGGATATCAGTATTTTCCCCTTTCCAGGATTGATGCGACAGCCAAGTGAGCAATGGATGGAATGATAGTTTATTAGCCGTTAGTCACTCTCCAAAATAAAAGTTTATTCTGAACACTTCTTTGTTTCACTTCATGATTTTTTTTTTTGCCCTGAAGGTCATCTTTGAACATGCATTCATCTGATGAACAGAATACTGATTAAGTATGTGTAATCGTGAAAAGTCTGTAATCATGCACTGCAAGTAGGAAAAGGAGACACAGAGCTCCTGTCTGCAGGAGGCTTGTGTTATGGTGAGGGAGACAGACCCAGTTAACAAGAGTACAAGTCAAACTTCAGTGAGCACTGTAGGAAGAAAACGGAGGCCCTGGGCTTGATCCCCAGCACTGGGGGGAAAAGAGTAGTTAAAAGGTAAGCTAGGAATCATAAGGAGAGGAAAGCTTAACTCTGGTAGAGTCAGGCAAGTCAAAGAAGTCTCCCCAGGTCCGGGGATTTAGCTCTGGCACCACACCTGCCTCTGAAGCACAAGGTCCTGAGTTCCATCCCCGGTAAAAAGAAGTCTTCTTAGAAGAGGCACTATTATTTTATTTTATTAAAAAAATACTCATAGGGCTGGAGATTTAGCTCACTGTTTTCATCGCCTGCTGCGCAAGAGCAAGGACCTGAGTTCGATCCCTGGTACCAAAAAAAAAAATACTTATCTTTCTTTTTTTTCTTGGTACCGGGGATCAAACTCGGGTCCTTCTGCTTGCGAGGCAGGCACAGGAACCACTGAGCTAAATCCCTGGCCCATGTGCTATATCTTTATCAAACAACCAGGGGTGGATGAATTATAATTATGCTAAGTTCTATGAAGGAAAGATCAGGAAAGGATAAGAAATATTACAGGGACATATTGTAGGTGGGGAAATGAAGAACATTCTCTTTAAAAAATGATATTCAAATCTCCATCTGAAGGGTGAAGAGGAGGTTTCTAGGCAAAGATGGTGAGGATAAGCATTCTAATAGCAGAAAAAGAATGTGCAAAGGCCCTGTGGTAGGCAATTGGAAGGAAGCTGATGAAAGCCACCGTAGTGCACAGGGAGCAAGGTGAAGGGTGACAGGAGATATGAACAGGTATGATCATAGTTGACCATAGTAGCCTTGGAGGCTGCATTAATGATTCGGACTTTACCTAAAAAGCAGTGAGAAGCATTAGAAGGTTGTGAGCCTGGAGTGACACAGACTTAAACACACCAGATATGTGTTTGTGAAGATGGCTTTGTAGACGATGGGAGAGTGGGGATAAGAGCAGACCTGGGGAGGCCAGGGGACGATGGTTTGGCCATGGTGGCGGCTCTGGAAGGGGAGCAGAGGTTGATGCAGTCAGGTCTTGGCCTTGGCTGCTTTTTGGACCTGTTGGCTTTGGAGCGTTATGCGCAAGGCCTCCTGATGCACTCTCCGTTTCAGCCCAAACAACTTGGTACCTGTCGCCTTTCCCGGAACCAGTCAGACAGCACCAAGGGATGCTGTAGATCTGAACAGATTTTGTGGAAGTTGCGTTGACAGAATCGGATGGATTCTGTTCTGTTTCTTTTTGCAGCGCTGAGGCCCAAACCCAGGGTGCCAGGCGTGTTGGGCTGGTGCTGTGTCACCAGGACTCATCCCGGCCTGTGGACTCAGTGTTGGATGGACACCGTGAGGGCCCGGAAGAGCTGTGTGCCGAGTTAGGGACGAGGAGCCAACCTGGAGGGGAGAATGAGGAGTTCATTGCAAACAAGAGGAATCTGAGGGGCCTGAGAACCATTCAAGTGACGACGTCCATCATAGGATTAGATGTTTGGGGTCCGGAACTCATGAGAGAACTCTGGGATGGAAACAGACTCAGGAATCATTTAGACAGTAATTGAAGCCATAAGCTATTGGGACCTTAGGGGCAGCTCTGGCCTTAGTGAATTTCAGCATTCATTGTTGGGTTGAGGGAGAATAACCGACTGAGGAGACTCAAATTAAGCAAACAGAAGAAATGCAGGAGAAAGTCCAGAAATGTAGAGTCACAGAAACCATGGGAGTCTAGACTTTCTCAAAGAAGAGAGAAAACGATTGTGTCAAAAGCTCCCAGTGAGAGATGGAGCACTAGAACTGGCATAGGGGACTCTTCCATGGCAGGGGAGGGGTTGCCTTTTAGAGAGAAGGTCTCACTGTAGTCCAGGCTGGCCTTGAAAGAGGCCCTCCTTTTTTCTTTTCTTTTTTTTTGGTACCAGGGATTGAACGCAGGACCTTGCACTTGTGAGGCAGGTGTGGCACCACTGAGCTAAATCCTGGGTCCTGAAAGAGGCCGTTCTTTGATGGTCTTGGTAGAAGACCCTATTGAGTCATGGGAGTAGAAATCATACGAAGTTGAGCTGAAGGACGAAGAGAAGACAAACCCATGCAGACAGGATTTATGCGTGTGTGTCTGTGTGTGTGTGTGTGTGTGTGTGTGTGTAAAGTGCCGAGAGTTGTACTCAGGGTGTCATGTATGCTAGGTGTGATGGTAACTTGTGGTGACAGCTTGAATGAGAAATGCCTAGTGACTTGTATTTCTTTTTTTTGGTACCGGGGAACGAACTCGGGACCTTGCACTTGCAAAGTAGGTGGCGGCACCACTGCGCTAAACCCCTGGCCCTACATATATATATATATATCTCATATATCTATCTATCATACCTATATATCTATATCTTATATATATATGATATCATATTACATTGAATCTGTTCCTCTAGTAAACCCTAACTGAGCAAATGCTCTATCACTGGGCCCCATTCCCAGCCAATGGCTGGGTGGACAGGAACAGGCACAGTCAGCCGGACATTTTAGGCAGAAAAGCAGCATGAACAAAGACACAGGGACACAAAGGCCATGGCATGTTTAGGGGACCTTAAGCAAGGCAGAGTGGCTGGAGACCCAAATACGGAAGAAGGAAGGATGGTCAAAGACAATGCTGCAAAGAAGACATGAGTGTCTACAGCCTTAGAGGCCAAAGGGAAGGAAACTCCTATCTGGCAGGCAATGGCATTTCAGTTTCCCTCCAGTGCAGGATGATCCGGGCCAGAGCTCTGGAAGGTGGTGACATCAGGTGGAGAAGTGTGAGGATCCATCCTAGCCATTACTCTAGTGGCAGAAGAGTTGGCCAAAACAGGAAGAGGGTGTTCAGAACCAAAGCCAAGTGCAACAAGAAAATAATTCAACAACCAAATGGCCTAGCCAGAAGTCAGCTTGTCAGAGCCAAGAGAGGTCCGTCCACAAAGCCAAATCCTCACCGTGTAATTGGCCCAAAATGCCACAAGCAGTGAAGCTTGATGGGGAGGTGAGGGAGGTGGGACAGGAAACTTCAGAAACCGGATGCTACCAGATAAGCCTTGAGCCCCTAGCCCAGCTGCCATTCAAGTCCTGGGGATTTGGGGATTTGGGGATGGGTAAGAACTAAGGAGATAAGCTTTCTAAGTGTGGGAAAAGTTAACAGTTCGGCCCTCTAAGGAGAGCATGATTGGAAATGTTTTTGCGGAGAGACTGCTGGCAGGTCTGTGCAAGGGGGCCTTGAGGTTTCAGGCGGCGGCAAGTCCTCCACCTGGGTCTCGTGTGCCGGACAGGAAGGACAGCACCCCGAGGAGCAGACCGAGGGAAGGACTCTGGCTCGGTCAGTGGGCCCGTGGGACCGCTCGTTACACCGAGAGCAGAGCCCGAAGAGGAGCACCAGCCACACGATGTCCCCTCGGTACCAGAAAGACTGCCTTCACACAGCTGTCGCCAGCAGCGTGTCCACATCAAGGGCTTCTCAACGCACCATCCAAGGTTCATTCAGGCCTCCCAAACACTCCATGAGGTGGATGTTATTTCTCTCCCCTTCTCCAAGTTTTTTAAGCAGAAGAGGAAACTAAGGCTGGAGCAAATTCAGTGGCTACTCAAAGTCCCAAGTTCTTGTGCTGCCCAAATGGCAGGGCACTGAGTGCAGAGGGGCGGCAGGGTCTCTGGGCAGAGGAACAAAGATGCAACACAGCAGATCCAACTGAGGAAAGGAGACGTGGGGTCGAGAAGGAGCCAGATGCATAGGGATCCTGGAATACCGTCCCCGGAAGGGTGGCAGAGGTGAGGCTGGCAGGTCAGAAGACCCGTGGGACACAGCAGGCGGTGGAGGGGAGGAGACAGCCGGGCACCAGTGCGGGTGTGAGGCGAGCCAGCCTGAGAACGGGGAGGCCTCAGGGAAACCAAGGCAGGAGAGGAGGCCAGCCCAGAAACGTGTAGCAGTCAAGCTTCCGGGGGCCTCGCGACACCCAGAGGGGAGGCTGGTGACATGTACCCATCTTTCTGGGGACAGAAAGGCCGGAGCTGCGGGAGGCCTGAGGGGAGGCAGCGGAGGCGAGCGCGGGTGGCTGGACCTCAGCGCCCCCAGTGATGCACGCGGAGAGGGCGGGACTCGAGGACCCGAGGGCTGGAGGTGGCGTTAGCAACCTGCTGGAGCCCAGTAACAAAGGCAGGACTACATCTCCCAGCATGCTCGGCGCGGTGGGGTGACGGCGGGTGGCGGCGGCGCCGCAGCCGACTGGTAGGCGCGGGACCGGGTCGGCGCCGAGCCTGTCATCCCAGGGGGGCCGGGTGCGGGCGGCGATGCGCCGGTGTCCCCCGCCCACCGGCCGCGCCCGGCTCGCGTCCCCCGCCCCGAGGCCCCGCCCCTCGCCCCACCCCAGCCGGGAGCCCTAGCGGGGCGCCGTGCGGCGGTAACATCCCTCTCCGCCGCTGCTCCGCCCCATCGCTTCTGTTTTTCTCCCAGTCTCCGGCGGCGGCGGGGCGGCGCGGGAGGCGGAGGCAGCGAGGCCGCGCCGGCTGCGATGAATGATCCCCCAGCCTGGGGCGAGGACTCCAGGTGAGCCTCTGCCCGCGGGGTGCCCGGAACCCCGGCCGCCCGGCCCCGCAGCCGCGCCATGGATCCCTAGAGGACGGAGGAGAAGACAGCCTGCCGCCCACCCCCATCCCGTTTTCCTCGTCCTTTATCTCATTGTTGCCGGAGCTGTTTACGGCGGCGGCGGGCGCTCGCTCGGCCCCAGCATGGGGCGCGCTCCGGGCACTGCTCTTCGGCGGGCGCAGCCCTCGCGGCTGCCCGCGGGCTCTGCCTAGTCCGCCTCCCCAGCCCCAGCCGGTGCGCCGGTGCGCCGAGGACCGGAGAGCGGAGGCCCGGACTGCAGCGGCGGCGGGGCCACCTCCCCGCAGCATCCCCACCCCCTGAGGCTGAATGCGGATTGAAGAGCGGCGCCTGGGGGCTGGGGCAGGGCCCGCCTCCGCCCCGCGGATCCCGACCTAGGCAGCAAGACAGCGGGAGCCACACAGCGCGGCAAGATGGCCAGTAAGACCAAGGCCAGCGAGGCCCTGAAGGTGGTGGCCCGGTGCCGCCCCCTCAGCAGGAAAGAGGAGGCCGCCGGTCACGAGCAGATCCTGACCATGGACGTGAAACTGGGCCAGGTGACCCTGCGGAATCCCCGCGCGGCCCCCGGGGAGCTGCCCAAGACCTTCACCTTTGACGCCGTGTACGATGCCAGCTCCAAGCAGGCAGACCTGTATGATGAGACTGTGAGGCCCCTCATAGACTCTGTCCTTCAGGGCTTCAACGGCACCGTGTTTGCCTATGGCCAGACAGGCACCGGCAAGACCTACACCATGCAGGGCACCTGGGTGGAGCCCGAGCTGCGCGGGGTCATCCCCAACGCCTTTGAGCACATCTTCACCCACATCTCCCGCTCGCAGAACCAGCAGTACCTGGTACGGGCCTCCTACCTGGAGATCTACCAGGAGGAGATTCGAGACCTGCTCTCTAAAGAGCCAGGCAGGAGGCTAGAGCTGAAGGAGAACCCCGAGACGGGAGTCTACATCAAAGACCTCTCCTCCTTTGTCACCAAGAACGTCAAGGAGATCGAGCACGTGATGAACCTGGGGAACCAGACCCGGGCTGTGGGCAGCACCCACATGAATGAGGTCAGCTCTCGCTCCCACGCCATCTTTGTGATCACTGTGGAGTGCAGTGAGCGGGGCTCGGACGGCCAGGAGCACATCCGTGTGGGCAAGCTCAACCTGGTGGACCTGGCTGGCAGCGAGAGGCAGAACAAGGCAGGGCCCAACGTGGCTGGAGGGACGGCCACTCAGTCCTCAGGTGGAGGTGGTGGCGGAGGCGGAGGTGGAGGTGGCGGCGGTGGCAGTGGCAGTGGAGAGAGACCTAAAGAAGCCTCCAAAATCAACCTCTCGCTCTCTGCCCTGGGCAACGTGATCGCTGCTCTGGCGGGCAGCAGGAGCACGCATATCCCCTACCGGGACTCCAAGCTGACCCGGCTGCTCCAAGACTCTCTGGGGGGAAACGCCAAGACCATCATGGTGGCCACACTGGGACCTGCTTCTCACAGCTACGACGAGAGCCTCTCCACCCTGCGCTTCGCCAACCGAGCCAAGAACATCAAGAACAAGCCCCGGGTGAACGAGGACCCCAAGGACACGCTGCTGAGGGAATTCCAGGAGGAGATTGCCCGCCTGAAGGCCCAGCTGGAAAAGAAGGGGATGCTGGGCAAGCGGCCCCGGAGGAAGAGCAGCCGCAGGAAGAAGGCCGTGTCAGCCCCGGCAGGGTACCCCGAGGGGCCGGTGATTGAGGCCTGGGTGGCTGAGGAGGAGGATGACAACAATAACAACCACCACCCGCCCCGGCCCATCCTGGAGCCAGCCCTGGAGAAGAGCATGGAGAATTACCTGCAGGAGCAGAAGGAACGGCTGGAGGAGGAGAAGGCGGCCATCCAAGATGACCGCAGCCTGGTGAGTGAGGAGAAGCAGAAGCTGCTGGAGGAGAAGGAGAAGATGCTGGAGGACCTGAAGCGGGAGCAGCAGGCCACGGAGCTGCTTGCGGCCAAGTACAAGGTAAGGGCCCCAGAGGAGCCCCAGCGGGGAAGAGAGGTCCCAGCAAGGGTCTTTGGTGGGAGGTTCCCCTTTGAGGGTGCGTGAGCTGGCCGGAAGTGGGGTGTCCTCCCTTCGTATTGCACACGCCCACTCCCTCCAGAGCAGCCAGGCGCATGCGTGTGCCTGCGTACACGTGAAGCCAGGCAGGAAGGTAAGATCGAGCCAGGGTCTGGCCTGCTGCTGTGGGCCCTGGGCTGGCCCCAGGATCAACTGAGTCTGTGGGACAGCCAGGCAGGACCTCACATCTCCTGAGTGTGGGCTCTCACTCCTGCACAGCTTCCTCCCCTGCCACTTCCTCCCTCTGCAGCATCTTCAGACCTCACATCCTAACGTGGTACCTCAGTTCATGAACTCAGGTATCTCCGCCATGCTGGTCACAAACTGAACTAGGCGAGAACCGAGTCAAATTTCCCCATAAAGTCAACACTGAACCTAATCATTGAATTTGATTTGGTTCTGGTTCAACTCAGTTTGCAGCCAGAATCTTGGAAAGAATCAAGTTCGTGAACCAAGGCACCACTGTATTAATGATAGCTGACATTTGGATAGTACTTCACGGTACAAAAATGCCCCACCTACATGATCTCATTTGATCCTTCTAGTACCCGTCCAGGGTGGTGGTTCTAAGACCCCCATTTTACAGGTAAGGAACTGTGACGACTCAAAGAAATGATGGGACCCAGGTTCCATCCTGCAGAGTGGAAGAGCTGAGCTGGAACCAATGGACCTCATGCTCTTTGAGGCCCTTTGTGGCGAGACAGGGCCGTGAGTAGATGCTGCTCCCTATGAAAAGGGCCCATCCAGTGGCAGGCCCACTGTGTGGTGTCATTAGGAAGGAGACTTGGAGGGTCATGCAGGAGGTAGGGTTGAAAGAGTGCTGGGCTCCATGCCAGAGACCCAGAGTCCACACCTAGCTATTCTGCAGCTCCGTGAGGGACCTTGTGTGAATGGTTTCCCCCTTTCCTCATGCCTCGGTTTCCCTTTTTGGAAAATAAAAGGTTAGCCTAGGTGATCTCTGAGGTTCTACCAATCCAATTAATTCTATGACCCACATTAATCTGAAAAACAAACCAGCTGGCTGCACACCCAGGCCTCGTCCAATAATATCCAGTTCTCCAATGCCCTGAAGAATGTCAGGGCCTGTGCCCTTCCTGAGCTATTCCCTTCCCAGGGGAGGCTTCAGCCTTCGGTGGGGCTAAGCTCCCGAGGCCCCAGCCTGGGCAGTCATAGGCCTGTTCAGTTTCAACACTGCAGATGCCACAGCTCAGCGTTCTGGACATCTCCAGATCCCTGGAGCACACAACACTGGGGGTTGGAGGAAGGACACAGGGATCTGTGAGCACGCTGGGAAGAAGAAAACACTGTCATTTCTTATTCCTTCACAGGAGAGGGAAGCCCAGCAACAGCCAGGTCCTTTGCATTGTCTGTGGGCTGGGAATGTGCCGCCCCACCAGGGGCTCTGGCCTTAGCATGTTTAATATTTAATTCACCGCTGTGAGCTCAGCCAGTGATACTGAGCTCTCTCAAGGGCAAGATCGGGGGTCTGGCACTGTTAGGGCTGTCCTGGGAGAAGCAGGATGTGCAGGGTGGCCGTTTAGACTAGGCTTCCCTAGCAAGGAGGAAATCCAGGCAGGCTGGTGTTTCCAAATGGGAAATCTCACCTTTCCATCTGTCACTGGTTTCACTATCAAGATACTCCTAAGCCCCTTATAGCTGGTAGGCATCCGGAGCCATGGAAGCTAAAGGGAGAAGAGTATGCATAGATCTTTCAGCTGCCTGGGGAAATAGGTAGAAGGAATAGAGCAAAGGCTATTACTGGTAACTGACTGGCTTCCCTCAATAAGATTCTTGGATCTAAAGCAATATAAGGCTCAGATAATAAAACAGTCAAGACATCAGGGTGTAGCTGGACCCAGTGGCTTGCTCCTGTAGTCCTAACTGCTTGGGAGGCTGAGGCAGGAGGATCAGTTGAGCCCAGGAGTTCAAGACCAGATTGGGCAGCATAGACTCTGTGTCTAATGTAAGGAAGGAGGAGAGGGAGGGAGAGAAGGAAGGAAGGAGGGAGAGAGGAAGGGAAGGAGAGGGGAAGGGAAGGGAAGGGAGAGAGAAAGAAAGAGAGACAGAGACACAGAGAGAGATATCAGGTTGACCAGTGCCAGAATTCTCAGACCAAAGGTACAAGCCCATGCAACACTACAATCTTAGATCTGGCAGGGGCCTTGGGAAACAGAGGCCTGGGGCTTGCCTAGGCCACACAGGCAAACTGAGCAGGGTTCCAGACTCTGCATACTCAGTTTAACCTCATTTTATTGCTCTGTGGTCTTCGTGGTACCTACATTCCTTAATAACCAGAGTAATTCATTTTTATGCAACACTTTGGCATCTTAATCTCACTTAATCCATCCAGTAACCCCAGGAGACAGGCTCTGTTATTTCTGTGTGACAGTTATGGAAGCCAAAGTTGGGGGGTGGGAGCTGGTCCATTCCTGCCTCTTTCCCAGAGCCAGTATAGAACCCTGACCTTCTGATATCCCAGGCTCTTGTGCTTTCCAAGCCAGCCCAGCTTTCTCTGTGTTTGCTCACTGTGTGACTCAGGGCTGAGGCCTTCACCTCCTTAGGCCTGATGTAGCTCCCTGGGGAGTGGGTGAAATGGTCACTGTGTGCCTGGCTTTCAGATCTGAGCGGAGGTGAGGCAGCCTGGGAAATTCCAGGAGGGACACGATTCCATATCACACACCACCAGGACAGTCAGCAGGGAGCAAGCCCAGGATGGAGCCAGACAGATGCTCAGCATCCTGTCCCTGAGGCAGTCCCCGAGGCATCGCCCAGTTCAGCACTGGATGCTTCTAGGATGGCGGAAACAGTTTGAGCCATCAGGGAGCCACAGGGTAAAGAGGGAAGGAGCAGGGGAGAGATAGCCATCCAGTCCTGCCTCTTTCCCAGGGTTGTGTTGGAGGTGAAATGAGATCATTAGCGCAAGGATATTTGAAATAGGTTGAAAGCACCAAGTAAATGGAAACATTAGCAGCCTCAGACCTCTTTGCTGTTAGCTGAACCCCTTCCTCACCCTGCCATCCCAGCTGTCCTGCCACAGGGCACAGAGCCAGGCAGTAAGGGGGCAGGAGCTGGGTCCCTCCTCAGAACCCACTGATCCTCTGCTCCTCATGTGCAGCTCACGCTGTCCGCTCTGTGTCGCAGCATCCTCTCCAGCTCCCGCTCCCCCAACCTGCCCTCTTCACACCACCCTAAGGGGCTGGTGAAGGGGGGTGGCGTCGCCCCAGTGCCCTCATTCCCTCTGACTCAGCACAGCACGTCTCCCCAAGCTCCTGCCTGCCACCTGCGAGCTCCCAGTTCTCTTTGTTCTGCCCTCCCTGTGTACAAACACTGCGCGGTCTCCTTGGAACCTCCTGTCCTGTCTCCTTTCCCATTTCCTCTGGCATCTACAGAATTTCCTGCATTTCCTGAGGGCCTCGAGGGACGCTGGGGTGCACAGATGTGTGGGAGTCTGTGATTACGGCCAGCGCCAGTTTACTGTGGATGGTTGGTGATCCACTCTTAGGTAGCATTTCCAGGGGCTGAGTTGGGGGCCCGAGAGAGACTGGGCCTAGGAAGAAGGAGGTAGAAGCAGCATCGCAGGCCCAAGGGGGACAGTGAAGGTGCAGATGTTTGGGACAGCACAGAGAAAACTCGAATGCCTGTGCACAGCACACCTGCTGAGACGTGACTGGCAAAGGCGTGGAGGTTGGTTGGGAGAAGGCTTGCTCTACTCACATTTAATTATGCAAGAATTTTTAAATATATTTAAAATTTTTTATTGGTGCATGTTGATCACATGATGATCGCATTCCCTGTGTGGAGTTGGCACATGTACACACATTTTAAATCTTTTTTCAACCCCTTCCCTTCCCCTCTACCCTCTGCTCATCTGTTGGTCCCTTCTCAGCTGAGAATGAGCTCCCTATTTCCTATTATTGTCTTTTGTTTTTATTTGTTGTTGTTGTTGTTGTTGTTTTTCTGGTACTGGGGATCGAACACAGGACCTCAGGACCTTAGGACCTTGCACTTGTGAAGCAGGCATGGTGCCACTGAGCTAAATCCCCAGCCCTGTTTTTTGTTTTTTTGAGACAGGGTCTCCCTATGTAGCTATGGCTGGCCTTGAACTCATGGCAATCCTCCTGCCTCAGCCTCCTAAGTGCTGGGATTACAGGAGTGCACCACTATGGCCGGGTATTATCTGTGTTTTATTTTGCTCTTTATTTATATTCTGGGTTTCTCATATAAGAGAAACCATGAAATCTTTCAGTTCGTGTGTCTGATTTATTTCACTTAACATTATGGTCTCAAGATGCATCCATTTTCTTGCAAGGATTTTTTTAAATGACAGCTTTAATTTTGAAATTAACTTTTTGAGGGGAAGGACTAGGTGATTTCTATAACTTTGATTCTAGCTAGAAGAGGGAAAGGAGAGTGTTCATGGGGAGGCAGAGGCTGCAGGTGACACAGAATCCAGGCTTGAAGCGAAGGGAGGTGGCAGTAACAGCAGTGGATGGGACCCCAGCCGTGGGTCTGCAGGGAGAAGAGCAAGGGTCTTAGCCGCAGCCCAACTCTCAGTACTGAGTAGGGAAGAGAAACCCTGCAAGCAACGTCCAAACCAGGGGCTGCGCTCGCCAGACTGAATTTTCCCGGTCTTCTGTGGGCTCCCCTTCGCTCTCCTCCTCTGAGCGCCAGGCTGACTGTACTCGCTGTGTCTGCAGTGCTGGGGATTGGACTCACGGCTTGGCACTGCGGGGCGCCACTCCTCCACTCACCTGCAGCTTCGGCCTGGGCAGGGATGGCGAACCCAGAGGCCGAGCGCCAGACTGCAGCCCAAAACCCACTTACTTATCACAAAGCGTCAACGCTGCAACTAAACCTGAATACTGAGTTTTACTTTAGAAGAAAACAACTGTACATTAACATCT